ATACTACTAGCTGTATTTGAACGGTACTATTTTGTGTGCCATGAGTGTTTTATACATCACACTGTTACATAGTGTTACATAGAAAATAAGACTTCTTTACACACCGTCTTCTTCTCACCTTCGCTTCTCTGTTTGCACCTCTGGAGGGAAGGGTTAAGATGCAAGGAGAGCAGTTGAGGAAAGGAATGGAGGATGTGCAGTTAGTGAAATGAGGTAAAGGGATAGTGTCAGCATCCTGGTCTTAGCCGTGCTCAAGATGATGGTAATTGGTTTAAAGAAACACAAACGCTGATTTTTTATTTTTTTTCACCTATACCTGAATGATAATGAGGTACAGCCAGATCGTTGTGTTCTACAGAACAGGCTGGCATATGGAGACTAGACAAATTGAAGGCCCAGTTTAAAGGCAGATGACTTCTGACTTTCTTAAAAATCAATGATTACTGAGTACTCGTGGGTCACAATGTCAGAATGTTAGTCCCACTTCAAGATGGTGTCTAGTTTTATTCTGTGAAATTCTACGCTTTGTATTTCCTTTTTCAAATCATTTTATTTACTCTGTTTTCCGCCTAAAACAGCATGACGGTATTGTTTTCAGCTTGCTTCAATTGTTGTCACTGCACATAACATTTAGCACATCCTCCTGGGTTTGTCAGTCCACATCCAACTGCAAATGTTAGAATTATGAATATGTGACAAACAAGTTTGTAAATCTTCTACTTAAATGCTGAATAACTTCTGTTTGGTGTGTTTGTTTAGGTATGCGATGGCAAGGTGTCAGTCCACGTCATTGAGGGAGACCACCGCACTTTCCTGGAAGGAGAAGGGGTGGAGTCCATCAGCAGCATCATTCACAACTCACTGGCTGAGCCACGGGTCACCCCGAGGGAGGGCTAAACATCCCCAATCCACCCACACCTTCCACCTTCACACTGTTTCCACTTTTCACAACATTCCCAAAATAGGCATCTTCTTCCAATTAATTCAGGATGTGTAGGTTTTACTTTAGAATACATTTTTAGATCTCAGTGATAGGTGAAGCAATAGACACCCCAAACCTGTCACAATGACATGAGCTGTGAGTTTGTACAATATGAGTACGTTGTTCTAAAATGTGTCATTATGTTGCCATTCATCTTTTTTTAATTGTAGTTTGCATATCTGTTTCAAACCACTAGTGCAGTGGCCGTTTAAAAAGTGCCTGTTCAGTATGAACTAAATATCAGTGACCAATCTCTCCTCCAAACTACTTCACACTCAACACTGACTGCACTGCATTATCAAAACATGAACATTAAAACTCCGCTGAGGGAGTCTAAATGGTATTAGGTAGTCTAAAGCTGTGTCTAACGAATACTTTTATCAATCTAACATTGTTTTCGTTACAATTAGTCGGGTAATGTTACACGTACATAAATAAATATTGGACAGTTTCTACTGTTGTCACGAGTACAGTGCAGTTGCACATATTTGATTGGCGAGGGCAGTTGGTTGAATCTGGTTGTGGAAAAAGTGAAAGCTCTGTGTTTCTGTCAGGATCCTCATCGCCTTCTTTTTCCGTTAATGTAGTTTAATTAAATATAGCATGTGTAGATGATGTAGACTGTCTTAGCCTTCATGTTCCACTTGTACCTCTTACATCCAAACAGCTGTAATGTACTGTAAACAACTGTAACTCATGTAGATGTAGGACTTGAAGAATTGGACCATTTGTTACTGGTACTACAAATTGGAGGCAATGTTTAGTTTTCTTTTGTATTTGTTCACTTTATGAAAGAGGAATTTGTTTACCAATGCATCCGGTCTGGATACATTCACATAGTTTACTTATTGTTTTCATAATTGTACTCCAGTAAAGTAACCAGCAACTGTTTAGAACATTAAAAACATAAAGCTAAACCAAAACTCACTTAAATAATGGAAAGCTTCTAAAACCTTCAAATTGTTGTTATGAATGTAGCGCTGACAGTATGTCATAAAAAGTGTTTTTACGATCACTTTTAATTAACAGTTAGAATATAAATTACTGAATTACTGTGGGCCATAAAGGTACATAAAACAGATAGTTTTGACAGGACATGGTGAGAAAACTATTTTAAAATGTATTCACAAGTTTTGTTTGTTTTGTTTTAGATTTTAAAGTGTAAAGTATTACACTATAAATTCTCTACTTCTTCGACTATTATGCAACTGTCAATTTGTAGGGCTTAATTGTTGCTAAAACTAAGCAACTTGGGCGGAGTGCAAATCATTTTTATTGCTGCAAAGTACTGTCTGTTAAATGTAACAGACATGTAAAGCATTTTATCTGGTTTTGCCTTTCAAGACATTATTTTTGGTTTAATAAGTTGCGTGGCAACCAGTGGTTATTTTCCTGTTAAATTAAAATTTGTGGAAAACAAAGAAGTTGACAGATACACTGTTCTTGAGGATCGTACCAATAGGCAAACAGGAAATGTGCATGTCTGATAAGTGAAAGGGAAAGTTCAGGTAAATTTTTCCCAGCAGGAACCCTTCTTGATGTCAACTCATTGATGAGTTTATTGGTTGCTCTGTTCTCTAAGAAATGACCTTTTGTGTGAACACATGGTGAATGGCATTATGAGGGCCAAAACTAGTGACAGTTACTGAATTTGAATAGAGCCAATGTGATGTACTAGCTGTTCTAATGTTTTGGTCAAAGCTTGTGAATGACCAGTGGAGCTGAAAGGCCGTGTCCTCGAGCTGTCTCTGTCTCCAGTTACCTCATGTGCTTCATGACCCCCAGCAAGCAGCCTGATCCCACAATGCATCCGCCAGTGGACCTCTGAGACCTCCAGTGTGGTCAATGAAGGGTCTGGTGATTGCTGTGAGGAGAGACATGTGACAGTATATTCCTCTCTTGTAATATTTCCAGGATGTATTGAATAACTAATAAAGGCATCTCACTAAACACTTTAAGTCGCTTGTCTTTGTGTGTGTGTGTGTGTGTGTGTGTGTGTGTGTGTGTGTGTGTGTGTGTGTGTGTGTGTGTGTGTCATAGAAGTAGACATGATAAATGATCATATTTTCTTCTGTCAGGGCACACTGTGACAACAGCATAACAAGGCAGAGCACACTAGCTAAATGTTGCCGAGAGCTGCTGTTCCTTAAACCAAGATGTGGCATCAGCTTTATTGTTAAGGATTATAGTTAACTGGCTAATGGCTGATCCTTATGTACATTCATTAACATCACATTAGTTATGGTATTGGTCAACAGTATGTTTTGTTAACCATAGCAGAAGTTTGTTCTTATCTGATCAACTATGATTGAAATGATTTTGCATCAAGTGTAGTTGTGCTCACTGACAGGACACATAACTGTCAGTGTTGTAGCTGTTCATCATTTTGAATGATTACCGTTAATATTAACAGAAAGTTTGCTAATGATGCAAATAAATTCAGTTTCAAGACTTCAGAATAAACAAATGACAACATATATGTGCTATCGTGTACTTAACCGATCTTAAGTTTTTTGAATGGTTTCACATGAAATTCCCTGTTACGAATCTTAGAGGAAAATGGTGTCTACAGAGAATGCCCCTGCCAGTCTAAACCCTCCCTGTTCAACATAGCACAAGAACATGGCTTTAAAAGTGTTTTATGTTATGCTATCACTTGGTATGTGCTCAGTAATATCCATCCATCCATCCATCCATCCATCCAGCGCTTAATCCTCACTGGGGTCATAGGGGGCTGGAACCTATCCCAGTTTAGAATCACCAATTAACCTCAACATGTTTTTGGACTGTGGGAGGGGAACCAGAACAAGCGACCCATGAAGCAGATATGAAAAGACAGAAGATAATATTTTCATTTGACAAATGCCTTCTTCAGTTCTTAGGTCATGAAGATGAATTTAGTTTTATTCAATAAAATATTTTTCAGACAACAATAAACGCAAATTGACATAATTACAGCTCATAAATGCTACATGTTAACCAATATAATTCATGTGCTACTACACCGACGTCCTTGATGAAATTGCTATTCAATGCAGCAGAGAACAGCCTTCAGTGTGAAAAACAGCAGTGTAGTATTTTGGCATGGACAAAGCAGAGAGGAAAAGATGTAGTGTGAGGACGAAAGAATGTTTATCCAGACCTCCAAATGCAGAACTTCAGCACTTGCTTCTAAGTCTCTAAAACATGTGTACAGTGAAATTTCAGCCATCAGTTGTTCATGGACTCTACATTGGCAATCTACCACAACACTGCACAGCTTTTTCTGACAGGATGAAATACTGAAATTGAAAGACTAAATAAAGTGAAATAAAGCAGTGTCTCATCTTTTCCAGATAAAAACACGATTTTCGTAGACAGAGATATGTAGCAAACATAGTTATGTCGCGCCTTTACAGAGGATTAAGACAAAAATAAAGCAAAACAAAGTAACATGTTCCTCATTTTTTCAGACACCAACGCTCATTAAAGTTGTGGCTAGAGCAGGGATCGACCGATTATTGGTTTAGCTGATCATCAGAAACAGTTTTAAGTGTTTTTCCTGATTACGGGTATCATTATTTTTATAACTCAAGTCCAGATAAAATAAATTAATTTAAAAATGCACTACTTATGCTCAGATACCTCTTAAGTGTAGGGATCACTCTGTGGTCTCAAACAACGTCCCGCCCACAGCACCATCTGGTTGGTTACACCTCAAGAGTAACAGCCTATCAGCACTGAATACACCGCTTAATCCTCACTAGGGTCGTGGGAGGGTGGAGTCTATCCCAGCTGACTTCGGGCAAAGGCAGAGGACACCTGGACAGGTCACCAGTCTATCACAGGGCTACACTTAAAGACACATTCACATTCACACCTACGGACAATTTAGAATCACCAATTAACCTCAACATGTTTTTGGACTGTGTGGGAGGAAGCCAGAGAACCTGGAGAGAACCCACGCTGCACAGGGAGAACGTGCAAACTCCTCAGTTAAACATGTAAAACAGAAATAAATAAAGGCAAATAAACAGAATTTAGTGTTTGAGTTATTCTACACTTGGACACCAAGATTTTATTTTACTACTACAAAGATATATCAGTTCTAAATACAAGTTATTGGTCTCTTTGATTAGTAATAATTGGTACTGATATCAGCCCTGAAAAACCATATCGGTCAACCCCTCATATGTAGCCAACATGGATATGTCATGCCGTAATGAGACCTTTCGCTCATAATAAACAAGCATTTGTGTGAATACACAAACAACCCAACCAATAAACGCACTAATCATTTTTAATGCACCATCCCGTGTCCTTAAACGATCTTCTACTCCTGGGTTGCAAAGGTAAATCATTATTTACAAATGGACCGTGGTTCCTAGAAGAAGGAGGTGTCTGTAGAGAAGGCCCCTGCCAGTCTGAACTCGTCCTTCATCAGCACACAGAACAGCCGCTGAGGCAGAGCTTTGGAGTACGGTGCTGGTCGGGGGACGCATGTTCGCAGCAGAATCTCTCGGCCTGCCGGAGGTGGAAAGTCTGCTACTTTACTGCTTCGTCCAGTCAGCTTCCTGTCAGAGACCAGGTCGTCATCCATTGGTGCCAGCAGGGCAGCCTAACAGGGGAGAGAGGGTGACATGTGAAAGTAGCAAGAAGGCGAAGTGTGAAAACTAGCCACAACGAGCAGGAGGAGGTTTCTAAGAAATGTGCGTGTAGCTTGAAAAGCTGCAGCCTGATGCACCAGTTACAGATAAAACAAAACATACGTAGGTGAGTTAAAATTTGCATTTTTGCAAAGAAAACATTTAGATGCCAAGTATTTTTCTCTTTCAAAAAATTGATAAAGACACCAAAGTCAACATTCACTCAGCCTCCAGGGCACTGGTTTCTACTATGACTCAGAAACCAGCGCACAAACAAAGCTTTTACACCACAAATACAGGAAAGCTTTGTTAAATAGAAAACAGCTGGCCATTGTAGTTTATAGCTAACGTGGAAACAGAGCACTTTTTACTTTAATTTGGTCTTTGTTTAGCTGCGGTTAAAAAATATTTGGAGCTCTAATGTAGCATAGTTTTAGTATTTCCAGAAGCAGATTTGAGTCCAAATATAAAAACATGAGAACAGACCAGTATTATATATGTGTTATGTTTTCATAGAAAAAACTAAATAAACACATTCTGATGTGGTCAGATGCTACTTTAAGAGCTACTTCTGATCAAGTAAACCCCAGCCCACAGATACACTCACAGCTCTGCTGGATCAACTTCTAAAATACACACTGTTGCCATGACAGAATATTAAATCGGACTGAGACAGAAAACTGAGACAGAAAAGGGAACAACTGGAATCAGAATCTTGAAAAAAGAACTATTGCTCTGAGACTGAATAAATAAATGATCATCTGTAAAGGCATCCTCTAGTCTCTTCACACTTAGACTTTTTATGACCAAGATGAAAAAACGGGTAATTATTAACACGGCAGATGAAAGAATTAAAAATTAAAAGATTATGAGATAACACTGGAAATACAGTAATTGACCCTGAAATAAAAATAGTGGGGCATTTAAAAAGTACAATAGAAAACTATGAGTCTTTGAATATTGGATCAACAAACTATACCAAGAGGCCCAAAATGGATAAATGAACTCGATGAACTACCCTCAGCACGTGGAAGGATAACAATGAACATCTAGTAACACTAAATCTATGATTACTGCTCTGTTTATATGACTGTGTGAAAACCATGCGCTACTATAAAGAGTGCTTCACAGTGGAGAGAAGGATGATGGGATAGTTTAAAATTAGCCAAATCTGATTAAGCACACTAATGCCCATTGTTAAAATATGGTCCATAAGTACGTGGGATGTCCTAAATAGTCCATCAGTTTGCTGTATGAGGAGGAGTCACGAGAACAGACGCCTCTCTGTGTTTACTTAGTCAGTTCAAAAACAAATGTTTGAAATGATTCATGTGAAAATCGTCTTTCTTTAGGAACCTGCCTGCTGCTCAGGCTGAACTGGCCCACAATAGTCTGTTCACAAGCCGTTTTGTGCGACTTTCCCCAAAAGTGTACAACGACTGTGCAGAGTTCAAAGTTAGCACGACCCTGAATAGTCCCAATAAACACATGAATACAGTTTACTACTGGCTGCACTCACTGGACTGTTGTTACTACAGAGAAGTTGTCAGGCAAACTCTTGATTGTCAAGGAATAGTTAACGCTACATAAACTACCAACCAGACTCTCTGTTAGTGGACTAACTATAGATAAGCACAGATTCACATGTTTCATATGTAACAAACCTCACTAACAAATCCAGGGTGGACTTTCCTGCATCATTCTTCTTCTTCAGTATCAGTTTCGGGTTTAAACATGTGAGGCTTAGTTGCTCTTGGATTACATCTTCCTATTTCTCCAGTGTTTGAGGCAAAGCTAAAAAAGTCCTGACGTAAGCTGTTAGACTACAAACAGTTCTCAAACACCTGCTGTTTTCAGACATTAACATTTGTGGACTTTGGCTTTGAGCAGAGGGTTTCGTTGGAACATTGTTTGCATTTTCAAGCGTGGTATTAAAAAGGCTTGGTCCAGCCCCTTGAAGCAAGACTCCTAAAACAAAATGTTGTGAAGTTGAACTGGTGCAACAGGCCACACATGGAGTGATGATTCCATGAAGGAGAAAATGGGAGACACACAGGGTCAGACAGTGTGAGAATGCTGATACTACACTAGCTCTAATGTGACATCTTGTGTCTAGTCACACTAACAACTTGAAGTTCACAGGCCACCCATGCATGTGGGTGTGTACAGGGTTTTTCTGTGTACATGATTAGAAATGTCTCCAGGTTTCTCATCACTATCTACTGAGTGCTTGCTACTCTGAGCAGACTACAGATTAGAGGCTGATAAAGCTTAGAAATTCTTCTCAACTGAAATGAAATATGGATCTTTTGTTGCACTGTGATGCTGCTTGTTTCCTGAATGGACACTGCCAGTCAGTAACCGTTTACACTCATGACTAAAGGCATTATTACATATCTCTTACATTTGACTGGTGGGAACAAAGTTAGCAACTTTATACTTTGAAAACAATTAGTTGTAGCCAATTAGAAAGAACAAACTAAGGCACAGCAACCAACAGTTGGTGCAACCCAAACCAGATCCAAAACCTGAGTCAGACTGGATCCAAATTATACTGGGTCTATTTGAACATGATTTGCCTTCACACCTTCATGCCTATTTAAAATGTCCAAACAACCTAAATTTAATGCATTCGGACTGTGGGAGACAATCTGTGAGAGAGAGAGAAAACTAGCGTCATCAGAACTCTACAGAAAGACTGAAGTCAGTGGGTTTCAACAGAGAATGTTCTTGCTGTGAGGCCACAATAGTAACTAGAGCAACTCAGTACCAGTCCTAGCTTCATCATCGATCCATTCAGAGCCAGACTCTCAGTCTGTGGATCACATGAGACCGGTTCTTTTTTTTGTACATTCATTTATGCATATTGGGAAAGATAACTATCTAACTTGGCATTTGAGATTACATTTTATATTTTGATGTGTGAAATATAAGTTATAAAATGGGATGATGAAGCATTTATTAACCTGCTGCTTCTATATGTAAGCGATACGAGTCTAACATTGTGAAGTTGATAGTGTAGCCATATACACTATCTATATATGGCTTTTATAGATAGTGATCAGAAACCTCTATGGTGGAACCGAGCAATGAATGTAAAACCCAGCATGCAAAATATAAATAAAAACTAAAAGAAGATGTGCTTCTTGAATAAATATATCTGGTAGGTATGTGCTTCTCAGGAGTACCAAGACACAAAGTAGCTCAACTGGATCTACAGGGAATTAAAGAACAGCTTTCTCTATGTGCAACATGGACTACAAGACTAAAGCTACCACACCTACAATACTTTGTGATGCAAACCTCCATGTCACCAAATACACCCTGATTTCAAAGCAGGTCACATCAGAGAAATGTGAGAGAAAATGAAGATAACATATTTACTTCTGTTAAAACTTGTGAGATATTAAGTTGAATATGGTCGGCTGTGTGTGAGCATGAGTCACAGCTGCTTGTACCTAATGTGAGTATTTATGTTTTATATAGTCAAGATCTTTCCAAATGTACATGTTGTACATATATGTTTGACTATACATTCAATTGACAGTAGCTAATACAAAACTAGTTTATGTAAACCTTTTATATGCTGTCAGTGCACAACATTACCATGGTATCACCTCATAAAGTTGCTTTAACAAATGTTTCAGCCTTGCATTTATACATCTAGCTGACACACAGCAATATTTAGCATTAGTCTGGTGTATTTGTGTCCATCTGTTGAATTTCAGCTCTGGTTTGGTCTGCATTAACTTCCAAGAAAAATATTTGGCTCTTTGCGTGCTCCAATTGGTTTTCCGTATTTTACAGCTTGTTCTTTACAATGGACTTTAGCATACAGTTTGTTTCACTGAACGATGCCTGCTGCTGCTGCTGGAAATGAAATTGATCAAAGTGCAGTTTATGAGCAACAACAGGCAAAAATAAGACAATACAGTAAAAGATGCTAACATGCTCTGTAGAGCTGAGTGTAACAAAGGAGCTGCAGATAATTATTAGTGGATTCATCAGCTTACAGACAGTCAGATAGAAATACGAGGTGTGTCAGAAAAGTTCCAGGACTGGTGTCACAAAAGATATATTTCAAACCCAAACTATGAGTTTTTCCCATCAGTCGATCAACCAGCACGTCTACAAAGAGATCCTGTGGTGTTTGCTTCCTTCAGTGCGTGAGAAGAGGCGAGAGTTGTGGCGGGACAAGTCGTGGCTACTTCACCATGACAACACGCCTGCTCACAACGCCCTGAGCATCTGACAGTTTCTGGCTGAGAACAACATCGCCGTGTTGGAGCAACCTCCCTACTCACCCCACCTGGCTCTGTGGGATTTATTCCTCTTCCCCAAGCTCAAGGGGGGGTTATCAAGGGGACCTGTTTTGAAGACGTGGACGACATCAAGATTGCTGTGACGACGAAGCTGAAGAGAATCCTGGAAGAATCCTTCCAGGAGTACATGGCAGCGTGGCAGAGAAGGCTGGGAAAGTGTGTTAGACTCCAGGGGGATTACTTCGAAGAGGAAAACTTGTAGTTTGGATTTGAAATATGTCTTTTGTGACACCAGTCCTGGAACTTTTCTGACACACCTCGTATTGCTGACTTAAGGTTTAAGAGGTATTGATCAAAGTGAGACTGCTTGTTTAAAGAACAGATGCAAGCAACTTATTAAGGCTGTTTTCTGTGTGTGTGCGTGTGTGTGTGTGTGTGTGTATGTTTGACATTGCAGTATCACTAAAACTGGCAGGTAGCTGGGAGGAGTCTTATTGCTCATGGTTACCTCGTCACTGGTGAAATCAGCCAACTTCATTCAAGCAGCAGGAAGAAAAACAACACAAAATGTACAACTTAAAAGAAAAAGCACATAAATGCATCAAGAGGATTTGACATCCTGTTATACGAAGGAAGAGCACATGACACTGATAACAATGATACTGATGCTGAATAAAATCAGGAGCTGACACCTGATTTATGTAAAGAGTCAGTATCCTGCTGACATCATTTGGTGTATTTGATACAGCAACTTCATGTAACTCAGTTTGTACTTCAAGCTGCCTGCAAGACACCAAATGCATGTAGCAACATCTTTCTCCAGAAGGAGCAGCATTCTATTCTGTGCAAGACCTAGTCCTATAATTCAGATGTAAATCTCTGTCTCAGTGACTATCAGGACTGTGGTTCCACCAAACCAAAGGTAACAAGCGCTGATAAACAATGGCACAGAAAGAGAGAGAGAGAAAAGACTGGGCCTTCCTACCCTCTGAGAGTTGATAAACAGTCTGTGGATGATGCTGCCAGCCGGGCCTTGACCAGCTCCGATCACTGCCACCTCTGGCTCCTCCAGCAAGGAGCTCACAAACCTGGAGGAAAACATTCACAAAGTGTCGTGGTTTTAATAAAGTTTAGGTAAATGTGTCCACATGAACTCCAAGACAGTGGAGGTGAAATTAAAAAACATTAAAGAGCTTACAGAGCTAAGCTAATAAGACAGCAGCAATTAAACATTTGAGTACAACTATTCATTTTGAAGGATTTTTAAATATTTGTAAAATGTTGAAACAGTAAAAAAGGGAAAAAAACCCTAAAAATATTAAGTAGGTCCAAACTTTTGACTGTAAACATCAACAGACAACAACATTTTGGCTCAAACTGTGTAAACGTTTGTTAAAAATGATCTGTTTTGTTGACTAAACAGCAGTGTAAACAAAACTGAGTGACTTACTTCTCAAGCTCATCTGCATCCTCTCCCTTTTCATCCTCACTTACAGAAAACTTGGCCTTGAGTGAGCGAGCGCGGGTGATGCTTATCTCCATAACCATCAACTGGTTCATGAAATCCTGCACATACAGAGTCGTACCCACACGTATGCTTTCAGAACTCCAACACATTAACAGCTGTAGCACGGTTAGTTCAGACAAGAATTCTTCCACTGCAGTGGTTACTACAACCAATAGTCAATAATGCGTTCTGTCAATCTATATCTTTCAGTATTTATATCATCTATTAACATAATTGCTACCAAATCTGACTTAGCGGTTACTTAAGACTCTCGAGATGAAATGTTGTAAAAAGTTCTGAGAAACAGTTGGGTCCAAAAGTCTGACACCACATCAATACATTTCCAGTGAAAATCTGAGTGCAGTTGTCACTGACCTCTAACTTCTTGTAGTCCCGGTTGGGGGGATGAAGCAGCTTGCTGGCTTGAGATACAGCCTGCTGAATGCTTTTTTTGACTGATGGAATGTCTTCTACTGACTCTGTAAGAGAGGGAATCAAGAGCAGACAGAAAAGAGGAGAAACAGAACAGAAGGTGATCAGTTACAGGAGAGAGAATACTGAGGATTATTCGACATAGTCTGTTCATTTGTTTTTAAGAAAGGAGTTTTGGCAAATCAAACTCTGTTCAGAGGTGTACCCAATGGCCATCTATCCAATAGATCTTTCACTCAAAACCACAGATGTCGACCTTGCTGGTGCTCACTGAAGTAGAAGTCAAAGAATCACCAAAGACATTAAGATTCATCTAGGACCCATGAATGAGTTACCAGAGTCGATGGATGTAGTAGATGTTGAAATATTTCAGAGAAAAATGAAAACTTTGACTTTATGGCATCCAGAGAAAAAAAGTCAGCAGATTAACCAAGAACAGTCCCTCTGTGACCCTCACTGCCATCACAGGCTTTAGGTTGGCAATGTTTCTTTATACTGAGCAGAAAGACAAGTCTACTAATCACCTCTATGTTACATTACATAACACAGCATTTTCAACTGTGAGCTGTTGTTCTGCTCAATCATTGCAACACATCTGCACCATGAAAAGTCATGCTGAAAGAGCTTTTTAAAAAATCCTACACTACAGCCTTGGATGTATATAAACTTAGACTTAGTTTTTCTAATGTACTGTGTGTTGGTCTTGATAATACTGGGTTTACAACTGACAGCTCATATATTTGACTGATGTCATAACAAATTTGTCACACAAAAATAAAGACTCACCTTCCTCTTTCAGCTTTAGAATAGCAGCATGGATCATGCAGGGCAGGAGGTGAGAGGCCACGTCTGCAGGTTTCTGCATTGCCAAATAGTGCAGAACCTAAGAAGACAATCAAAACCCAGGTTTAATTTTGTTCATTCATTTGGCCTCAGTTTGCCTCTTGCTGCTCTCCGTCAGAAAAACATGTCATGTTGGCACAAAAGTCAGCAATAGTTTTTATACTGTTGATTTTACAGCGTGGGATAAACACATAAAGCAGGTGTACAGGAGTTTCTGATGCAGTGGCTGGTGAGAATATCCTCAGTACAGAAAAGTGATTCTAGGCAAAAAATTCTGTTTGACTGACAACATAAACAGAAGTAGGTTAGTGGATAAGAGCAGCCTGATTTGAGTGCAATGCACAAGGAAACTACAAGGATATATTTTAACAGCTGAGTAGCTTGTGAGGCAGATGATGTTTAGCGTAAGTTAAACTTCCTCACAAGCAGTTCCAATTACAAACAGTACAATGACAGAGAATGGTGGCAGTAGTTCAGAAAGAGCTGCAGGAAAAGACTGTAAGTGCTGCTATCACTCTCATACTGCCTAATACACCAGCAGCAGTACTGATGCTTTGTTCCGACTGATATGCAAGTCAGCGCTTATCTGGTTCGACTAATGTGCTAAAAATGTGTTTAAGTAGAAATTTATTGTCAAACCAAGATTTTTTTTTTTTGCCACTCAAGCAGCCCCTGTTAGAGGGAACACTAGACAGTGGCTCCAATGTGGGATGACTTTAGGACACATGAATCAAAGCAATCCTTTTTCCATCTGCAAATGCTAGAAGGTGTTTGGCTTAAAACATACATCCCAAAACTAGTTTTCCATTTTGTAAATGCGGAAAATGAGAGACACGGGTAAGGAAAGATGGAGACTGTCTCCATCAAACGTCCTCTCTGTCATCACATACACTGTGTGTAATGCAAGTTTGTTGTTCTCATTACAGATTTTTTTCTGTTGTTAGATGCCAGATGCGGTATGAAATCTGATCACAGCTTCTAAAGAGAAGTCATTATCAAGTTGGAGCATTGGTAATGATGAAATCATTATTTTATGATCAGCATGTTTTCAGAGGAAATTAACAAAAATATCATTTCATGACAGCAGATCATCTACATTAAGGGAACACAGAGAAAGTTAGAGACTCTTTCTGCCCCTGCGTTCTAGTGGCTTCCCAGCCCCTGAGGTTCAGTCATGATTTTTGATGTCAGTTGTAGATTCAGTTATACTTAAAATGACCTTTTCTGCCTCCTTAGTGTCATCAAAAAGTCTTCTCTGGCGCCGTGCAGGTGTCACCCTGGCTGTTTCCCAAGCCTCCACCCACATGTTGCCTGGGATCTTCATCCTGGGACTAAGCTCGCCTTTCACCACTGTGTTACCCTTCTCATCCACCACCTCCTCCTCCACATAATCCCTGGGAGAGTACCAGCGCACAAAGTCCTCCAGAACACAGCCTGGGTTGGCTGCCTGTGGAGAGAGATGAAAAAGGATATTGAAGAGTGGGAACATGCTTACAAACAAAATCAGAAAAGTGAAGCTGAAGCTAAACCTTTTTCTGGTGATAAATCAGTGAGTCAGTGTATGTGTGCAACTACACTGTTGTTTTAGCAAACAGTGTGAAGGTGGAGGACAGCTGTCTATTGAATGAGTCCAACATGAGCCTAACCTGAATCAAGAAGTTGCTTTGTGTTCCTGTCATTTGACAAAAGTATTTGCTTTGACAATACTCCTTTAGTTGACCTTTGCATACAGGTGTGATGCCCTGTATGTTTCTGTGGTCTGTCCAATCTGTTTCCTATATTTTCTGGAAAAGTAACTAAATGTATTCCATAAATCAGTTACAGATTGTACAGCAGTCCTGCAAGAGAGTGGCTCATAATTTCTAGTTGTCCAAGAGAAGACTAGTCTACCTTTTTGAAGCAGCAAGGGATGGTTTTCTTTCGACATTGGTTGAAGTCAAAATTAATGTTACACTTAATAGACAACTTGTTCTTGGGTTGGATACTGTAAAAATATTTTCACTGTGCAGGACACACAGGTGGACAGTAAATGTATGCATGTTGCCTGTCTCACCTTAAAGGACTCCATGTCGGAGAGCAGACATGCGCTCTGCATCCGAGCCCGGAGGTGGGTGCCTTCAGCCGACGTGCCCAGCTTGGCCAGCACCTCCGACTGCTCCTCTAACAGATCCTCTGTCATGGGAGCAGGTTCCTGGAAATGAAACACACATATTACTGTGTGTACATACACTCACTAATAACATTTTAGAGTTGACTCAGTCATCTGTATTCTTGAGTTCAGCTGGAGATTGCAAGGTTTAAGTGGGCGTCTTCCAGAGCTGCAGAAAGAGCACATTTCTTTGTGGCTCCAGACACAGAATGTTTCTTTGCTGAGCTGCAGCAGAGGCAATGCTGTCTAAAAAACACTGTGACCTCAGAAGACACACCTTCATTTGATGCACAACTGATGCAAACTGCTGAAACCTCATATCAGACGCACCTTTTTTGACATCATCAAACATCCTTCGCGCTGTCTGAGCAGTCACTGAAACCATGCACATTTTTACAGACAACCCCGTGAAGTACTTGCAGAATTATGTACCAATTTGTTTTTCAACACAACAGTGTATAAACAGTGAACTGTGTATGGTGCCAGTTTTGGAGAACAGTCACTGCTCCTTCTGTTGTTGGTAGTGTGTCTCTTAATGTATCTCCATCTTCTACAGCTGTGTTTCAGCTTATATTTAGTTGGTTGGACCCTCTGACATCGCTACGAAATCTGCTTTCACACCTGTTCCTTACAATGTCAATCCAGGTTGTGTAAAACCCAACCCAGACCAGAACTAAAAAAAAACAACCTGTTCATGAGTTATTGTTTAAACTATGCAAAGAGCCATAAATATATCAATATCACTGTTATACGGGTAAACAGACTCAAAATTATTATTGCAGTGGTCACAAGTGTACTCACTTAGGTTGTACTTTGGAAGCTGTGTTTTACTGTCATGTAACCCTAACTTGTTTACTGTTAAATATCCAGGGGGTCAAATACTGTATATATTTTAATTTAAAAATAATACTATTATTATAATACAATTATGTAACATTTGTATTTAACATTTTAGTAATATTGCACAGGTGTGCAGTCACTTTTGACACTACAGGTATTACAATCATTACCAGGAGCCAACAAATATTCAATTACTGATAGTTAATTTCACTCCACTGATCAAAATGTAAATAAAGATTTAACTCCTTAGAAATGTTATAAACAGCATATTCCTTGTATAATTCTAACCCAAGAAAAACTGCTCCGACATATGTCTATTTTATCCTTATTTTTCTGACATTACATGTTATTGGAATAAATGGCAATGATATGATAATTATATACACATAACACAGAACTTATATATCAGTGGTAATGATATGACATATAGTATATGTTACAAATCTATACACAAATACATAGATTAATAGCAGTTGTAATATATGTGTATCCTTAACACAAAGATGTAAACGTGTGTGTGAATGAGTGAGTGAGCTGACCTGTGTGACGGGAACATAGAGAGGCTCTGTAGAGTTGAGGAGTGTCATGTTGTTGTGGGGGTGGAGTCGGCCCTCTGCTTTGCCTTTACTGACGTCTTTTCCTCCCTCAGTCTGTGGAGCCTCTATCTCTCCTTGGTCACTGAGACACTCAAAGAACTCATCCTCACTGTCACTCCATGAGTCCCAGGACTTTCCTTGAGACAACTCTCTTGTTGCGGCTGCAGTAGACTCTGGAGCCTGGCGGCTGTTCTGGGAGCCACCAGACACTCTGCGTTCTCTGTCTTTGCTTCCCTCTAGAGTCTTGCGAACTTCATCTCTGGCCCTCTTCCTCTCTATGCAGCAGTTCAGCATCTATGCAGAACACAAAACAACCTCTGGAGACATGAAAAACTTACCACTAGTGTCTTCATATCTGTATTAAAGTGATGACTTGTTTTCTGTCGGTCATATTTTTTCTTTATGATGTTATTGAGAGCTGACACATACAGTATGAAAAGCACAAGCTGGAATGGTGCAACTGCGATAAAAAGAACTGAAAAATATAATGTTTTTCTGTTTTTTCACAGGCTTCCCCTCACAGATGTCTGCCCCTTCTTCTTTCAGTTGTATGCACAGAATCATTTTCTCATTAGCTTCATCTTGCATCACTAAATTCTATTATGCATTCTGCAATGTCCGAAAAAACACAAGCATAAAATGAGAAGACACAGGAACTTGTTTAACTTGAATTTGCTACAGAATAAGTGCCCATTCTGCATGTAACACGTTTTGATGGAGTCTTATTTTTTGATTGATTCACTTAACATGTATCAGCAGTTGAATACATTTGGATGGGAGACAGCCTAATAAGTATATTTTCTTGAATACAACAGTGAAAAATGTATTGGAGGGATCTTATCATTTGTATATTTCATTTACAACCATGCATACCTACACTTTCACCTAAGGCAAGATTGGAATCATGAGTTAACCTACTACTCATGTCTCCATGACCATCACCTGGCTTCACAACATTTCACATGACGGGCAGGTCCAGCGGTTTTTCACTGAAGCTCCTGATGACTTACAATCTACACACGTCACAGTGAGATAATCTATATTTATATGTATAACTTTACTTGAAGCAGAATCGTCAGAAGCATAATTACAGATTAGTTTATGTATTTGGGAAGACTGCCGTTTTCTTCTGTCTTATGTGTGACAGTTTTTCTCCTACTGTTCTCCCTGTCAAAAAGAACCTTAACCGCTGATTTCTTTACCTCATTTACTTTTAAATCATTGGACTTGTTCTTGCCCTGTGTGTGTTTGTATGAACGGTTACCTGGAGCTTCTGATGCAAAAGACAACAGCGAAGATCAGGAGGTCCACCAGTCAATCTGCAGATTGGAAAGCACATAGTTAGCACGGAAATAAGTGACCATGACTTGATTTACATAGCAAATAAATACATCAACTACTCCTTAAAGTACTGAAGCAGTGTTTCAAGTACTAAAGCACTGCAAATGAATGATACTGTACATAGTTAACTGGATGACCTGAAATTTTCTTTGCCAAAACTCAGACAAAAATTGGAGTTACCGTATTTGGCTCTAAAAGCCTCAGAAGTGCATCTAACCCATTAACTACTTGGCCTCTGGTTTCTACTGTGAGGAACCTGGAGTTACTTTTGACAAGGACATGTCCTTTAACTCACACATAAAACATGTCTCTAGGATGACTTTTTTTCACCTGTGCAATATTGTCAACATCAGGAACATCCTGTGGCGGTGATGTATTAAACTCTCTCCTGCCCCCCCTAGAGTAGATCCATGTACTTTCTGTGCATCAGGCATGTACTCACTTTTCCCTGGGGGAATCCTAAAGTCAGTATGCAGCCTAACCCAGCCTTTATCCCAAAAGTTAAGGGCTCGTGCTCCCCTATAGAACTGGCTGCCTTCTATTCCCTGATTTTCTCCTCTGAAGAGCACCAGCACCATCTGCATACTTAGTGTTCGATTCGTGCTCTGTAAGTTTATTTGAACATAGAGGGACTGTTTTCTTGTGTTTTGGGCCAAACCACATGTCAGAAAAACAGTGTCTAATGTTTCTCTCACTGGATAGTAGGAGCGATTGCCCTGGCTTATACTAGTCTTTAGCCTCCCACTGGCCTGCATGCACATTCCACTATGAGCCTGGCAATCTAATGAGTTCTCTTCAAAGGAGTTTTTATCCAAGAGGTGTGTGCGGCTGCATGCTGGGCATCGCCACCTTTGTAAGCTTTTATAGGTTAGATGCCACAACATCAACCGTGGCGCACTCAGACCTCAGTGTGAGCTCCTTCCAGGCTGCTGCCTCTCAGCTCTGAAGTGCCACTGAGGGCAGTTGTCACCTCTACAGCTATATCTGGCAATCGGGGAGTCAGTATTTCTCCTCATAGAGAGACACGCAACAAATGCTATGAAAATGAATTTAAGGTTATGAACACAACCCTGTTTCTCTGATTAGTATATCACCAGATCAGCCTCCTTGCTACAGAGGCAAGGCAGAGGTGAGCTTGTTTTGAACAACAGCTAACGCTATGTCAGTCTATTATATAGTAAGCCCTCCTGACATAGGCGTCACTAGTACCAGCCAATAAGGGCTGGTGTAACGATACTTGAGCTTCTCATGAGGTCATGCATGAAGCGTTCCCATAGTGACACATAGAATGAATGCTAATCAGAGAACTGGGGTTATCTTCATAACATTAAGATTTGTTGGGTTTCTCTGTTTTAAATTTGAAATTTCTGTGTGATCTGCTTTGAGAGTCTGAGGGCCAGGACCAGCAGACTTAAGTAACTTTGATTTTGACTTGACTTGAGATGGCATATGTTGTGAATGTACATAAACCATGTGTATGATGTCATAAATATACACTACTAAGATCAGCACAATGTGTGTTATACTGACCCATAGATAAGGTGGTTGTTTTCCCAGCGGTAGCGCAACTCCAGGACGAACTCCTGCCAGAGGTGGGCAACAGCCCGCATCCCACCGTAGTTGTAGTTGACCAGACACACACATAATGCCAGCCGGTAGGTCAGACTATCACTGGGTGCTGACTTCAGCTGGAGGAAAAGATTCTAGAGTGAGGGGACAGAAAGCAGGAAAAATGATGGACAAACATAATCAATCGAATATCAGCCCATGGAAATGTTCATGAACATATATTATATATTCTTGTTCAAAACTTTCAACCTTGACTCCAAAAACAACACAACTGAAAGCTTTCACCTGACTAGAATCCCAGGCACACTGTCACATTGTGTAAGTGATAAAATGGCAAACATACATAATCTGAGTTTTTATCTTGCTCGGTTGTCTCGCCGGAGTTTGACGGTGCAGTTTTACTCTTAACATTCTCTGATGATTTCTCCACAGCAGCATCTGGGAAGAGATACTGAGACAAGAAACAATACAGACAGAAAAAAAGGTCACAAACTGGAATTCAATTATATATTTACATAAAACACACCCATCAGTTTGATGCTCTTGCCTGTCACAGACAATAAATATTGGTTTAATCCAGCCTAGTCTGACTCACTGGATGTAGATTGCAGGTATGAACCTGCCACTAGCTGTGCAGAATGATGGTTGTACAATTAAAAAAATGCACCTGACTTGAAGAAATCAATTAATGTATCATTTGTACATGGAGCCAGGCTTCTGTCAAGATTAAAACCCAGCAGGCTCTCAGTGCTTACTGACCAAGACTGTCAGGACTGCTGCAATTGCTTGCTGCAATTAGGACTGGAAACTTGAGGACACCAAGCCACTGTCCTCACTCTGACTGTATATTACTGCTGCTTTATATTGACACCTAACACACAGATCACCGAGTCAGTCACACTGTTTGTGTTTAGACCACCTGAAAAGCAAAATGATGGCATTCATTTATCAATGCTATGCAATAAGTAAAACAATGTTCAACTGTCCCATATATAAAACAGTCTGTATGAAAAACTCTTACCAGGAGGACAGAATTGAGTACGTCAGTGTTAAGTGGTGATTCGTCGATGCGGCGGTGGCGGCGGATGTGCTTTCGAGCCGTGTGCACCATATTGGAGACGTATAGTTTGGTTATTGGCACAGTTGCTGTTGGCTCGGTCAGCTTGGATAAAGCAGAGCTGATGTCACTGTTGTCTATAGGGAAAAAAATACAGCAGTTAACAATCACATTAAGCATTTTACATAGCAAAATTTATGTATACAGGCAGAGTAGTGGCAGCAATCTTTCACTCAAGCTTATTAATCAACACAAGACCAATATTCAGCCATAACTTGTTTAAAAGCCTTTCTCCTAATCTGTCAAATTCAATTGGAGATAACAAAAACCCAAGCTGTTAGTTGTTGTATATCAACCACCTGCCCCCTACTCTGAGTTTTCGTCTGAATTCTCAGAGTTCTTGGCTGATTTAGTCTCAGTACAGATAAGGTCAGTATAGGGGGTGACTTTAAACCCCATGAGAATGACAGCCTCAACTGCATTTAGCTCAATGTTAGACTCAGCTGTTTTTTTTCCTCAAAATGTCAATGAACCAACTCACAGTTTTATCCACACCCTTTCGTTTGATTTGACATATAGCATAGAAGTTTTATATCTGGCTGTATTTGCAAAACCCTCTTTTGTCTGAGCATTTTTAACAATGTTTGAATTTACAATGTGGGCCTCAGAAAATTTGGCAAAAAGTTCCATTACAGTGGGTGTTAATCAAACAATGCAGTCACTAAATGGAAGGAAATGATTCCATTATTAGTTACTTCAACACCATATGTCATCAATATGGAGAGCAGATCTCCTAACCCTTGTAAAAAGCAAATAAACAGTACAAAACATATTATGCTTTGCTAAATTGTTCTTTCTCACTTTATAATTCATTTTGTGTTTTTTCATAGTTTGTGTTTCTTTAGTATTATTCTAGCAAGTACAAAACAGTAAAAAAATAAAGAGAAAACCCTCAATAAGTAGTTGTGTTCGACTTTTGACTGCGACTGTATATGGAGGAAAATATCAGCATTTCATATCAGCAGATGAGTGAAGGCTCTACACAAACATTTCACAAAGCTAGAGAGAAGGTGTTCGTAGGACTTCATGCTTAAAACAGTGTAGCTACAGCACAGCAAGAAATGAGAGCATGCATTTCAGTGTTGAATAGTAAGACCAGAACCTGACCTTTGCCCTCCTCTTCAGTCAATCCTCTTCCCAGAAGCTCCTCTGTAGACTCCTTCCTACAGCCCAGCTTGAAGAACTCCGTCAGAAAATCACCTTCATGGGAAGATGGGAAACGGTCAAATCCATCCAACATTTTAGGAGATCAAACTGCTCCATGTAGCTGGACACCACAGAGGAATTCTTTTTTTTTTTATAGAGGATATACAATGTTAATGCATGTGTGTGTGTGTGTGTGCGTGTAATATATTTGTGTATGTGTATTAAATTTTATGTACATCTTGTTATTTTGCCTTATTTTGATCGCTGATGCTGGAGGTTGTTTGTCTGGCTCTCTCATAAGGAATGGCCACTATCTGGGTGGTTTATTCATGGATGTATCCTGTCAATTATGAATTATTTTGCCAATTTGTGTTTCATCCTCACCTGCCTCATGTTTCTGCTATCAAGTTACTATTGTTTTTAATTACACTGATAAAAGCTGAGAGCAGAAACCAGTTCACTTTATAAACAAGATGACTACTTATCAGCGATTGCCAGCATGTTACTCTAATGAAACATCAGATGGTCACTCAGGGTTTCAACTTACCCAGTAAGCACTGAGGGTTTTCAGCTGTCTTGACTCGAACTGACCAATGAGGAGCTTGAAGAGGGTCGAGGTCACTGTTGGATGATAAATACAGCGTATACAGTAACTTCATGACCACAAACTAAATCACACTATAGGTAGGTCTTTTACACACAGCTAGAACTTAGTATAACCTATACAGGTTGGACTTGTGCCCATTAAAAATAATTTGTAATTATTTTAGGAATTTTGCCACCTTGTGATAATAAAAATATTTCAGTTTAGTCTTGTTGAAAGGAAAAAAACCTCCAGAACTATAGAGGACATTAGTGCTCACTTCACTTCATGCTGAATATTGTTTTTTTGTTTTTTTTTTAAATTTGGTATGATTATTTTTTAAAGCTTATTTTCTGGCCCTAAATTGCAGAGCAGTTGGAGACAGGAAAAGTGAGCAAGAGAGGGGGAACGACATGCTGCACATCCTGCCATGGGACAGGATCCATGGGCACTGTGGTGGGGACTTCAAGTCTCTTTTCACGGGTCACTTGCTCAACAAGTCGAGCTATTGGGTCACCCATGTGAACTTGTATTGGTATCCTTTTTGGTACCCCGGGTTTGGAAGCCCATTAGGTACTACAGCTAACTAGCCAGTTTGTGATATAGCCTGTCAACTGACACTAAAGTGGAATACTTGTCCTTTTTTCAAGTCCTTACAGTTTAAAATATAGAAAAAAAATTCTAAACAAAAATATTTTTATAGACTACAAAACAGCAGTATTCTCAAGTATATACAGTATGAACAAATCATTATCAGTATTTGCTCCACCTTTTTGGAAAATTGTAACCTATACAACAATGACAACAAACCCAGAAACAATTCGACTCATATATTTGAGGGAGTGGCTGTGTACGATGTATGATTATCCTGACAAAGTCCTAGTTGCTTCATACTGCAAAAGCAATGTCTTGCAAAGAGCTTTCAAAACATGAACAGAATCTCATTGTGTATCAGTCAGGGGAGGGCTACAAAAGAATATCCTCAACATTTGAAATACAATGGAGTGCAGTGAGGACAATCAACACATGGAAAGAAATGGCACAACAGCGAACCAAGAACAGGATGTCCCTCCAAAGACTGATGAGAAGACAGGAAACTGTTCTGGTAAGCTGCCAGGAAGCATATGATAATAGCACAGGAGCTCATGAATAAAGAAAATCCAGCAGATTTTTGCAAAAAGACACATCCAATCTCCCAAAACCATGTGCAAAAATGTGTTATGGTCTGATGGGGCAAGGGTGAACTTTAAGCCCATCAGACCATAACACAACAACTCATTTATGCTTTAGGTGCTCTTCAGTTTCAGGGTTGTAATAGATATTCTTCAAGTAAATAAGACAATTTTCTTAAAAAAAAAAAAAAAAAAAAAAAAACACCATTAAAGCCAGGTGTTGTTACAGTGGTCCAGGACTCACTTCTAGTGTACACAGCAGAAGATGTAGGACTCTTACCTGTAGACGTCATTATCCACAACTATTCCCTCTGTCAGGTGAGGCCAGGTGGTTGCAAGATGAAGTTCACTGCAACAGCCAAAACCAGACACAAAATAAGTCATTATTTTTCCTTTCATGATCACTTACTGACAAATACACTAAAATACTAAAACAAAACAACAGCAACTTCCCATTCTTCACCCACATGCCACAATCTAGCATCTCACAGACATCAAAAGGACATAAATATCATGTAATTTGTAATAACGTTCTCACATACACTGTACTCACTGTGGATGGGTAGAAAAAAATCAACAGTTTTGTTTTTACTTTACAATCAGTTGTTACATTGTCATCAAATTTACAATGTGTTTACCTAATTGGTTCCTCACAGGCTCCAAATGGAAGCTTCCCAAACTCCACCCCTCCGACCTCGCCTCCAAGGAGTGTGTCAAAGTCTACCAGAAACCCACGACAAATAAAAATAAACAGCAGTACATCTCCTGAGTGTTTACAGGCAATGGTCACTGAGGCCACCAGGAGCTACCATGGCTGTGACATGTACACATCAGTCACAAAAGTTCATGAACCATCGGTTAATGACTATTGCAACATTAAAATGATGCCACAATGACACTTAGATTTTTTGCTATAACATTATCTTACTGTAGCTGTATTGTATTTGATCTGATTTGGTAACATGTCACAACATCATCCTCTGTTCTATATGTCCCTACCTGGAGGCTGCTGTGGCCACGAGTACTGCTGCCAGTCTTGGAGAATATATGTAAAGCGAATAGCAATGTTGACTGGAGGTAGAGGGAACAGGGTACAACCCTGATGAGGGAAAAAACAGAGAAAAAAGGCTGTTGGCTGGATGACACGCTTTGTGCATTAAGCTTTACGTATGCCTGACAAAAGATGATTTTGTGTAACACTAAGTCATTTTTGACCAAACAGTCCCAGGAAATATGAGGACAAAGTTAAAACTGCACCCAATAAACAACAAAGACTATGTGGTTGAACAAACATGTTGAATTTCCATGACTTTAACTTTTTGTTTTTTGTTCATGTCCCACATACTCCTCACTGTGGGCTCATTTTTCACTGCAAAATAAAAGTCTGCACCTCTATGGAAACAGTACAACCATGGCCTAAGTAAAGACTCAGAACTGTCTTTTGTGCAGGTTAACAAAAAAAACAAAACATTGAAACTGAATTTGAACTTCTTTGGTTACTTATTATACAAAAGTACAATTGCTGGAATCAACATGTAAAACATTTTTCCAAGAGTCTGCCGGCGTTACCTGTACTGGAAAAAAGTGGTGACTATACACACTACTACGACTACACAGCCTGCCCTGCCAGCTCCAGCATCTGTAAGGAAGCTGCAGAAGTTTTTAGCAAGTGCTGCATTTTCGCAAGGAAATGCAATCTAGTTATATCTGATTTTGTTTATGTAGAAACAAGATAAATTTGGGATTATGCTTAGTATACATTGACTTTTCAGCAAACTTTCGTGTGTTCAGTTTGTGTTGAGAATCCCTCCCAGAAACAGTTTCAGTATTGTTGTGTGGTTGGCACCCGCATGAATAAGTCCCCATTATACCATTCCCACAGTTTTTACACCAACAGAAACAAACAAGCTGTAATTCAATCAAATATGTGTGAACCTGGAAAAAAGAAATTCATGTCCGTTCATGATCGTGAGAGCAAAAAATACAAGGAGAAATTCTAATAGATAAGGTAGAGCTGGCTGGTATATCCGATACGTGAAGTTACTTACTATCTTAGACTTGAAGATATCAAGCAGACCAGACAAGTGGTTGTACTGACTCGGCACTTTGCGGAGTTGGACAATTTCAAAGTCTGTTCGCACACCTGGTCCCTGGCACTCCCCAGCATACATCCGCCTCCACTTCTGCTGGATCTGCACAAACATGGGAACCTGACTGAAAGCAAAGATAAAAAGGAGCTGTCATTACTACAAAGACGTCAGCATGCTCACCTGATGTTTCCCTTACTACTCATATTCAGCTGCAAATGGCAGGTAAATGCTCTGAGGCTGTACGACACCATCCAAACCACAGAGCAACGACAAGTTCACTCTGAACATTGAGCAGAATCCTATTTCTACTCTCCAAATTAGACACGCTGATAATGAAGTAGCAACAGACAAGTTTGAAGGCCTTAGAACTGATTCATTTGGTAATAAGACATAAAACATCTGAAATTTGTTCTTGACAGTGAAATTTTTTCAGTGTTACAAATCTGCATCTGAAACCTGCTTTGCGCTTCACAGAACAATGATCCGAAGTATACCAGCAAATCCGCTCACTCATCCAGGTTCACTGTGAGGACTGAGTTTTGTCATATTTTTTCATGCTTCTGAAAAGCTTCAGATAGGCTTGGTTGTGTTTGTGTTGGTCTACTTTGCGCTCGTCTCTCCTGTACAGCATCCTTCTCGTGCTGATATTGTGAAAATTCACCGCATCTTCTGTACCTTTGCTATCAGAGAAAATAAGTATTGCCATAGTTTCAGAGTTTTGGTTTTGACTTGGCACTGAAGTACCAGTTCCAGCAACATCCCTAACACTTAGAAGAAGTCATCTCTGCTAAAGAGGAAATACTGGCTAACATGTACTCACTTTTACCACCGATGAATGTTCTATCTATACATATTTTTTGGTTAATAATGATTGAATAAATGCATTGTACAATATCACAAGGATGCAGCTTCAGTGGTCTGATTAATCACTGGAGTAACAAAGTATATTGTCAGAACGTTGATGAGGAGGCATATGATAAAGCCATCCACTGTCGTGAGTAATGGCAGTGACTCACCAGCCACTGTTGGCAAGAGATATGGAGACGGAGCTGAGAAGCAGATTGCATTTGGACTCGCTGATGATGGCCTCACAGTTTGTTCCTGGACTGATGATCACAAACTCTCGTAAGCCGTACCTGCCACCACAAACACAGTTACTGTACAACAAATACAAAAATAGTGAGCCCCCCTTTCTTCTTGAGACAACAATTGTTTTAAGATAGTTAGTGAACCTGAATACAATGGTAAAGATTCCCATGGTTTAAAGGTGCATACAAGAAAACTATATTATGATATGGACTGAAATTTCAACCCAATAAACTTTAGTCTTTTAGCCTTAACAACGTTCAACGCTGTTTTATGATTGGAAGTGATATGTTCTCTTCCACATTCCCAAATTGGTTCTCATTTGTCTGTAATGTCTCCTTTCTTTCCTTCACTTGCAGTCTTCTCCTCACTTCTAAATCCCTCCCACTGAAGACACAGGAAGTCATGTGAGTAAAGACATCCTTTCCTCTGAAGCATCATTTGAAGAGATGTCGGTTTTTGATGACGACAGCTACATCAGATGTCAGTCTGCAGCATTGCATGTTTGTCCTCCAACATGACAAAGGTAGTGTATAAAGTATCTATGCATGTTTCTCCTGAAATAAGCAGTAAGACAGTACAGTGAATGACTGAACTCACCATCTGACCAGGCAGTGGGCTCGAGGAGGGAAATCATTGTTCATACACAGAAGGTCCTGAATCCCCAAGGGTAAGACATCTAGACACCAGAACAAATGTCGTATCAAACATGCGATCTTATGTTTTACCTACAAGTTATCACTCAACATTGAGTACGACATGAACATGAGAAAAAATGAGCGAATAACAACAGGATGCATAAACTGATAAATAGCAATTTGCTGGGACAAAAAAAAAAAAAAAACTATTACAAAAAGGCCTACTGAAAGCATTTACTAACCAGATCTGAAAACATTTTTTACCAAATGACTGGAGCGTAAAAATAGGTTAGTCCTTATGACACTTTATTACAATTATGTATTCAATTTACTAATGTAATTAATTATACTTTGATTTGGTAAAAACCTATTACTGTCTCTGGAGAGCTGTCGGGCTCAGCAGGTTTCTCTATAGAAAGGGGATGTAAAACGCCTCAAACTATTTCATATACAGCAACTTAACAAAAAGCACATTAGAATACACTACTCTAAACATTAGGCTTAAATGCATCGGTCAAAAGATTGGACACATACTCAATAATGTTTGTGTTGAACAATACTGAAGACACTGTATCTATGACATAAGGCAAATGGAATTATTAAGGAAGCAAAGAAAGTGTTAAACCAGTGTTCACCACCTGGAGGGGAGGGGTGTGTGTGTCCTTGTGATTAAAGCAGCTATGTTGTTGGGACCAATAGTCACTGGTAGGCAATGGTGGACACCTGGAGCATGTAACCCACAACACTGTCAACTGTTTGTCAGGACGTGAAATGTCACCTTACTGGTGGGAAAGAGCTGGAGCTGTTGTGCTGACCTCCATACATAGCAGAGGTTCTCAACCAAACTCCTGGAGAGGGGTTGGACTCTCTCCTTTTTCTGGGTTGCCCAGGGTGAGAGGTGCCGAGCAGGTGTAAAGATACTCACAAGCCGCCAGCTGAGCGGTCTGTGTTTAGCTAAAAACAAAAGGGTCGCCTCTCTGCAGCTAAGTGTTGTGGAGGGGAACACTGACTGTGATTTGCATTTATGTGCTGAACAGCAGGGATGAGGGCCACACAGCCAAGGAAAAGCCTTCAAAAAGTTCTACAATGTTCATAATAGTAGAAATAAATCTAAACCTTTAAGTGAGTGTGTCCAAACTTTTGACTGGAGCCTGTATATATTGTGGCTCATCCAAACATGACTGTACCTTCCTTGGGTGAGTCCGTCCCTTCATCCTGATCACATTCTTCTTTCAGGAAGTAGTGGGTTATGTAGAACTTAAAGTCAGCAAAATTAATATCCTGTGACTTCTCACCCCAGGTGCCACTGGTGTATTGACCCTGTGTTCAAAAAAACATCGTCACAACAAAACTAATGCGAAGAACCCACCAGCAGCACACTACTCACTGGCACTATTCAGCTAAACACTAAAGGACTAATGAGGGCAGAATACCTTTTCTGGAGACAATGTCCTTGCAGAGTTCCCAGTCAGCTTCCAGTCATTCAGCACTTCTTCGACTCTCGACACAAACCTTCAGGTAGATATAAGAGTTAAACTCAGCGGTAGGGACTGGTAGGACATACAGGTTGTTGCTGCCACCAAGAAGGACAATGGATCTGTGGCTGAAGATAGCAGCTGGGCCTGGTGTCACTGGTCATCATCATGGAGTTCAGTGACCCAAAGCAGACAGACAGTTTCTGTATGAGGAGCTAATCTGTTTACCAGCTGTGTGACACTGCTGAACTGTTCATGAGGAGACGGGACCAATTCTGTTACTGATGACAGTGACAATAGTGTTGCCCAAACTGGGTTGTTGATGTGGCTTCACTGCTAACCAGTCTGGGGTTCAAGGCAACACTGAAGCTGTTCCTGCGCTGACAGTCAGCAGCTGGGATGTGAGATTTTGGCCAGGGAGGACAGATGGTTTGAGAGAGGAGTGAAAGAAGCCATCTATGTCAAACTGGAAAGACCATCTCTCAACAGAGGTGGAGGTCTGAGGCATCATCTCTCACCTGTTTACAATTCAGTCCTAAGAGCTCTCCCCAAAGAAGATGAAAGTACATTCACACCTAGCCACAGAAGACCCTAACGAACCTCTTTGTGGCAGGGGGAGCACTAACGACCCACATAACGAGGGGGAGGAGCAACAAACCCCCAACTGAAACCGAAACTCAGGTGTTAATGGCTCCTTTAGGATATAAGTATCTGGGACTCCCAACTAGTCAGTCAGAACTGATGAAGCCTCTTGGATGAGGTGAAACGTCTTCAAGGAACTCAAGCAAGGTTTCCTACAGTATCCCAGCACACCTGGGTTTCTCAAAACAGAGAGGGCTGTGAAGGTAAAATACTTTTTAAGATGTTAAATTACCATTTATTTATATGTCAATCTTCTGCTAATCTTTTGTTTGGAATCGGTCAGTTCTGTGTGCATATGTATTCTGATGTGTTCACAGTTACAGGCTGACTGCTGCTTATAGTACTGTGGGATGTGTCTGTTGTAGAGAGAGTCGAAAATGGAACTTCTGTCTTAAGAGGTTCCTTGGTCAACATTATGGGATGTAGCCGAGGCCACAGGTCCTTCGAGGGATGATCTCTGGGAGGCTGCTCTGAGTTTTGCACAGTATGACCATGAGACTTAAACGACCTAATTCTAACGAGACGATAGGGCTTCACTGTCATGTTATGGGCCAGCTGTCATCTTGTTCTTCTTTGTGGCAGGGAGGCAGACTATTCATAAAAAAATGGCGAATCTGCGGACAACGTAAACATATGCAGCACAGAGATGATGAGCAGCTTCACCGGAACCCCGTCACACACAGAGACACGACAGACACCCCACCGACGACAAAGGACTGAAGTGAACGTGAGGTAAGTGTTGCCTAAACCTCTAATGTCAGTGTAGGTGATGACACTGTGATGATTTGCTCTCCTACCGTTCCCACTCCGACGCTGTGGTGAAGTCGGTGATCTCGAACACCTCCGACTCGAGCTGGAAGAGAGCGACAGGTTAGAGGTGAAAACACATTCACGGTCCTCGTGTGACTCGTCCCGTCAGACGAGCACACTGAGCCTGCTCAAGTTGTTTTAGCAGGTAAACTCACATCACTGTCAGCAGCCATGTTGACGTTCCGTTCTTCTTCTTCTTCCTCCACTTGGAGTTTGTTCTTCTTCTCTTTAAACTATAAAGCAACATAAGACGTGTGCTGCCACCTGCTGCCCCGGAGGCTCCATCACATGACCACCTCTAAATACAGTACATGGCTTTAAACGAGTCAGTTTATTTGATTAAGTCTGGCCTAAACTGTCTGTATTTTCATGAAGCCTGCCAGCACTTGTGGTCATTTAATTTGAATGAATTCTTTTTCGTTTTATTGTATCACTTTTCTTCTACTTTTTTTTTTTTTGATTTGTCTTACGTTTTTTCTGTCTAGTCAATCGGTTTAAATCATTTGGTCCTATAAAATGTGTGTGTGTTTAATCAACTTGTCTGTGCTGTTTTCAAATTAATCTCATTTATTCTGCTGCATTTTCTGTAAAGTCTCTGTTTATGTTAAGATGCAGTATATCTGACGCTCCATTCCCTAATCCATTTTCCCTACTGTGGTTGAAAATGTGTCACTGCATCACTGCCACCCTTTGGTCTGGAATGATGACTCCTGTGGATTACAACACTAGACAATGCTGCGTTGCCTTTGGACTTGTTAAAACCCAGTGGACCAACACCATGACATCACAAATCATCACAGATTGAGGAAGCTTCTCACTGGGTTTCAAACATCTTGGTTTTTGTACCGCCCCACTGTTCCTCCAGACTCTAGGACCTTGGTTTCCAAACAAACACTTTGTAGCTTCTTTCCCGAAGACGTCGGTTCCTGGTGGCTCTTGACGCACGGACACCAGCCTCAGTCCACTTCTTGTGAATCTCTGTCAAGTTCTTTTATCAACTTGTCTTGACAATTCTCTCAGAGCTGCAGTCATCGAGTCAGCAGTCTTCACCATGATTGTAAAGATGAACGGTATTTTACTGTTTGAATAGTCATTAATATAAACTCAGAATTAAATATTCTAATATTTTGAGGTACTGGATTTCTGATTTTCATGAGCTATAAGTGACCATCAAAAGAAAAAAAGAAAAAAAAGAGAGAAAGGAAGCAGCTTGAAATATTTCACTTTTATAATGTTGTATTTTTTGTTGTTGTTTATGGAGAAGGAAGAATAACCCACAATAGAAGAATTCATTAGAAAACTGTTTATTGTCATACTCCCAATTCCAACCACAATCCTTTAGTATAATGTGGCACAAAGTCCCTAGACAGACCACAGAACTTACAGAAGCCGGCAAACACACAGCAGTAACAGCCCAGAGAACTGAATAACATTGAACACATACATTACATTGATTGGAGACAAACAGGAGAATCACTGTATGAACATTAATAACTGCTGGTGTGAGCATCAAAGTGCTTGTTCATGTTTGCTGATTTAGCAAAAACAAAAACAAAAAAAAATCTAAATTTGTATTTCAGCTTTTATTCCACAATCTGATTAAAAGAATAGGAAAAGTGTCCTATCTACACTGGAGGCATTTGACTCATTTACCTTCATTTCACATTGACTTTTCCTTAAGATTATGGGATTAATGTTCATTCGGGGTGAGTTAATTAGACATTCCTCGGTTGATGCTGGTACTAGTAGTGCAGTGTTAATCACATGGCTTTAAAATGTCTCATATGCAGAGTTCTGTCCCTTAACAATCCAAAAGGAACAGATGTATAGAGGTTATTTCATAATAACAGAGAATGTAGAAAAAGCTTTATATGTACAAGCAGTCATGAATTTCCCATCTTAAAGGCGCAGAATTGAGAGATGAAGCAGCCACTGGTGGTTTTGAATAGATGATCAAATTAATCTGCAACTATAATGATAGCTGCTTGTTCAAGTCCCTTTTCATTCAAAAATCCATGCGACCTTTTCTGGTTTCATCATTGTGCTTCTTTCTTATGTGATGGTAAACAGGCACTGTGGACTGCTCAATGGAAAAATCCAAACATTCAAAGAAGTAATTTTGGACATCACGGAATTCTGATTCTACAAATGTTACTTTTCCACATTTTTTATGGACCAATGGACCCACTGATGAACATGAAAGAAAATCTGCAAAAAATCATTCATAATAAAAATAGCTGTTACTTGTAACCATAGTTAGCTGCTGTCTGATTATCCTGGCCAAGGAAAAAAAAACAAGTCTGACTTAAAGTATTAACAAGTATGGGGTACGAGGAAGCTATCAAAGACATTCATTGACAGATAACTAAGCTAAGTTTGTGAGACAGGACATACAAAGCACTTTATGTACTATTTTGACATCATGTGTATTGAATACATGGAATATGTTTAAGGTTCTCTATAAAAATGTAATACTCATTCACTCTAACCTCCACACTCCCACAGAGCTGGATGTTGACTCTTAAAACCGAACTTGTCAGTTGTAGTTGAGCTGAGTTGGATTTAAATGGTTTATTTGAAATCAACTGTTGAAAATGATTCATAGTTTGAAGTTTTAGTCAAATTCTGGCCACAAAGGCTCACCTTCGTGTTTGGGCAGAAATGAACTGTCAGGCATCTCATACAGTACATCAGATGAGTGAAACAACCCCATGGTCACAACAAATAGTTGTGTTAAATCATGATTAGTAGCTCTTGATGTAAAGTGAGGATAACCAGTCATTTTGGCATTTTGCAATTCCCAAAACAAGATACAACTCCTCAGCCCTTTAGAACCAACAGGTGGTCATATACACAATTGAAATAGATCCATGAACGCTGCAATGTTTCAACTGATAAACTGTGCACAGAATAACCATTCATAAAATGTAGGGGAATTCTGGACTTCTTCAATGTGCATATGGTATTTATAGTAAAAGTAGGGAATTAACAGTGCACTGCATGAACTTTTTCAGTAATTAAATGGGGTACTTTGATGTCATATAAGCTGCTGTGGCCATGTAATATCCTGTATTTAAGACTGAAAACAAGAGTCCTACCCTGTTGGCCATATCTCTGAATACATCCCTTGATCTGCATTTTAGCAAATAATAATGATGCAGTAAAATCAGACTGAACTTGCACAGTGCCTCACTTACACTTCATGCTGACTGGGAGATGGTCGTTCTATTACGTGCAGCACAATGCAGAAGACAAGTGATCTAATTATTTCTCTGACACTGATTTGCCCATTTTTTAGGGGCATGAATAATACATTATCTTAACACTAACCAAACTCCCACCCTTTTTGTTCTGAATGTCAGAGGTCTTATTGTTGCGATGAACACATCTTGACAGAAATTTCTTGAAAATAGTGAAATATTCCATTTAGAAAACTGTTCCGCTGCAGGCTCTGTGCATCCTGTGAAAAGAGTTGTCTTCTAGAGGAACTCTTTGAGGTCTGAGAATATATCCTAATTGACTTGTATAAACTCTGAGTGGGTTTGGAGGCTACAAATGTTTAACAGTCTGCATTACAGCGTGGAGTTGTGAAGATGCTGCCAAGTTGCATTATGTTCCATATTAGTGGATAGAGTGTTTTTGGAGCCCAATTTTCACCACTCTTCTTTGAACCCCTGAGCTTTATAAAAGTGAAATACGAAATTACCTGAGCACCCCTGTGACAGTTTAAATATATCCATAACGCTGTGGTTTGGGTAAGCAAATTCCAGCTAGAGCTTAGAATGATACTTTTTCATGTTTCCAGGTTTAGCACTTAAATGACCAAAACAATCATCTAAAATGTTCAACATTCAGCTAAGGCACCCGCGTCTGCGTTTCGTAAACTCAGTTCCAATAACATCATGTAACTGATTTGACACTGGTTTGTGACAATGAGAACCATTTTGACATTTTATATACATTTCCTGCTCAACAGTGAAGCCTTATTTGATTAGACCGCCAAACCCCAAAGATTTTAGGTTCTCATGGACAACAGGCCACTTTTAAGGGTAAAAATAATAATCAAATACCAATACAAAACATATTATACCAACTTCTGTATGTAAAACTCCTTCTGACAAATAAAACCCCTTAAAATCAACAAGTACTTGATTTGATTACAGCACATTATAGCACCTATAACAATTTTGCTGTAATGCAGTGTAGAACAAGACCTTTGGAGAGAGAAGAAGTGTTTACAAAAAACATAAACTATAGCAGTTGCACATGTTAAATTTTCAATACTTAAACAAGGGTTGTCCTGGCTCAGAATGGGCCCTGTGGGGGTGCATGGTAACACAAACTTTTTGCCATTACTGCCACACAAATTTTCCTATGCAGGAAAAAATATCTTAAAGCTAGAATATGTCACCTCTGAAAGAAGGGATCAAACAAATCATTCTCTTCCCAAAAGCTGAATTAGGTTCTCTCAGGGTTTTGCTGCTACAGTCTTATTTGTTCTGTTGTGGCCAGTAGTTTACACTGGCAAAGTTATCAAACTTCACACAAACATTTCTGTGTACCTGACATTACAGTGTCAGTTTACTTACAGTCAGATTCTTGTCTATCTGCGCTACTGTTAATAATAATAATAATAAAAATATTAAAAATAATAATAATACTAATAATAGTACTTTTTTTTTTATAAGTGCCTTTCAGAGCACTCAAGGACGCTGTACAAGCAGGGTAAAACAATAAGCCTGTTAGGCTATGTTTCAACTTGTTATAGGAAAATATTTTAGTGGTTTTACCAAAAAAAGTAAAACTTGAGCACGCAGAGACTGTTGCTGTGTTACTTAGCATCTGACCAGCTTAGCTGTGGTTTAGAACAGGTTCAGCCAAGACTTGCAGGGGTTTAAAAGCACAGAAGTTCTGAGTTCTGTTCTGAGCTGTGTCAAAATGATGATGAGAAAGTCAG